GATCGAAAAGTTCTTTCTGCTTCATGACATATTTCTACTATTGATAATACGATACGATAATAATAAGCGTTTTATGCACAACCTGGTTTGTCCTACGCACATGCGCAGAAGTATGAAACAACATGTACAGCGCAGCCACCGATTACCGCGGGAACTACTAGCTTGCTCCGTCTATGAGTATAAGGTCTATGATTACACTGTAAGAGCTGCGTTAACCGTCGGTGGCGGAGACGCATCGATTGACAGCCGGTGGTAGGGGGTCTATCATGTGCAAGCTCTCGAGAAACGATTACTGTTATTGGTAATCCTGGCGGTAAAACACTGCATTTAACAACGATGACCATGGCTGGGTAGTCAGCGGCGGAAGGGGGTCTGTACTACAGCGGGTTGACGGCTGTGCGATCGTCGGTTGTAGATTTCTATTCTTAGTAATCCTGTCGGCCAATACAGATAAAACCCAAAAAAAAATTCAGATAACGCAAATAATATCGTATACAAATCTCCGTCGTACGTCTAATGATGAATTTTACTATAGCAAGTAAAATAATATGAATATTATATTAAAAATTTACTAACTTGGTGCAGGATTACCTGCGTGAAAACTATTACGTTTAGCTACCACTATAAGTAAAACAAGCTTACAAGGGGAAATAAAACTAATTGGTGGTATAGACTAAGTCATATAGAGTCATGTGCTATCATTTTCAAAGGTGTAGTACAAGACTTTGATTTTTAATATTTTTTTTCGAACTATATATGTAATATAACCTTTAATATAATATATTATATTCATATTATATTATTATAAGCTACGAAATACAATTATTGATACCACCAATAATTTATCATAGTAAAATATAATATTATTCGATAGAATTACTAAGAATATAAATCTACAACCGACGATCACACACCATTTAAAAACTATTAATAGTAATCCTGGTGGATAACAACGACAATGATGATGGCCGGGCATTTGATACGGCTGGTGGTGGTGGAACGTACATACGAACATAATGTCGATAACGAGATTATCATAGTAATATATAATATTATTTGAAAACCATGAGATATCTAAAGACGACTCGGATTATAGAAAGTCAATTGAATAATATTATTAATACCAATTTACAGATTAGAGTCGAGGGATATCGTTTTCAAAACAGTACTACCAAATTTGGATTTTTAACAATTGTTTTTCATACAAAAATGTCCCGGGTAACAATAATATGCACTACCGCGGTAGACACGAATATTTGAATACCAAATTAAAAATAGAAATATTGTACATTAAGTAAGTCATTTGGAGTCGAGGGATACCATATTTTTGAAAGCGGTAGTACAAAATTTGGATTTTTAGTAATTTTATTTCGTACGATATGTATCAATTTGACGTAATATAACCTACTCCGGTAGAAACGATTCTGTTTATAATTCGTTAAAAATAGAAATATTGTACTACGACTTAGCCAAGCACATCCCTGGCTTCGTTAGGATGTCCTCTTTTTGGGAAATGCATTTTGGATACTTASAATTTGCATAAAGTGGTGGTGAGGTCGAGTTGTCCAGAAAACAGTATATCGGTGCAGGATTACAGTGGTAAAATACTGGTTTTGCCACCACTACAAGTCTAATTTGCCTGCCAGGGGACTTAAAACTGTTTGGGGGTATAGAGTAAGTCATGTAGAGTCGAGGGATATCGTTTTCAAAACGGTACTACCAAATTTGGTACCAGAAAAAGGTACTTGGTGCAGGATTACTACGGTGATATAAACTATTGAATAATTTTATATATTATACTATGATAAATAATTGGTGTTTTCGATAATTTTATTTCGTAGCTCATCAAATATTATTTATTATATTCGACATTCGACGTTTTGTACGTCCCACCACCACACGCTGTGTCTACCGCCCGACCATCATTACCCACCAGGATTACTATTAATAATTTTTAAATGGTGTTTGTACATTATTTCACCGTACCCCCTCCCCCCTTCCGCCCACTATGTCAATTGTCGGTTGTAGATTTCTATTCTTAGTAATCCTGTTGGCCAATACAGAGAAAACCCAATAAGAAATTCCGATAACGCGAATAATATCGAATACAAATCTCCGTCGTACGTCTAATGGTGAATTTTACTATAGCCAGAAAAATAATATGAACATTATATTAAAAATGTATTAACTTGGTGCAGGATTACCTGCGTGAAAAATATTACTTTTAGCTACCACTATAAGTAAAACAAGCTTACAAGGGGAAATAAAACTAATTGGTGGTATAGACTAAGTCATATAGAGTCATGTACTATCATTTTGTGTTAGACAAAGGAAGAAAATCGGCGCTTCAAATCCTCTTAAGCAAAGCTTTTGTTAGAGAACACATATAAGATAAATAATTGTCGATAAGCTACGAAATATAATTCATTGAAAGTTTTACTGATCCACTGCCATATCTATGTTGTCCACTGTTTGAGTTTTTGAAGTCTAATATATTTTGTCTTTCAATATATTTTTTTAAATTTTTAAATTAAATTTTTATTATTTTTTAATTTATTTAAATAATGTTCCGAAAAACGACATTACTCAAGGTACATTTATCGAAACGAAATATCGTTAAATACTATGTGTATAGAAATATTTTTGATTATGTAAAATTTTCTGATTTCATTGGTGAGTAATCATTTCATAATATTACTATATACCTATAAATACTCTATACCACCAAACAGTTTTAAGTCCCCTGGTAAGCGAATTAGACTTGTAGTGTAGGCAAAACCAGTATTTTACCMCTATAATCCTGAAACAATTTCTAACAGTAATAAATATAAAAAAAATTAATTTATTCAGAAAACTATTTGGGGGTATAGAGTAAGTCATTTAGAGTCGAGGGATATCATTTTCAAAACGGTACTACCAAATTTGGGTTTTTAGTAATTGTATTTAATATGATATGCATCAGGTGAGACGTAATATACACTACTCCGGTAGAAACGATTCGGTTTATAATTCATTAAAAATCGAAATATTGTATTACGACTTAGCCAATTATATCCCTGAATTCCTTAGGGTGTCCCCTTTTTGGGAAATGCATTTTGGATACTTACAATTTGCATAAAGTGGTGGTGCAGTCGAGTTGTCCAGAAAACGGTTTATTGGTGCAGGATTGCATGGTAAAATGTAAATATGAATAGCCAAAAACTGTGTTAAATATTAATTTCCCCCAAAAATGTAATTTGGATAAATTGATAAGCAAACCTTATACTATAGGTTTCCGGTTTCCAGATCAGGAATGCTGGTCAATTTTTCCAAATGACATTTTTGGGGGAAATTAATATTTAACACAGTTTTTGGCGATCCTAAAGTACATTTTACCACGTCTTTTCGTGGTAAAATAGAAATAATTCTTTTCAATTATGTCTAATTGATACATATCGTACGAAATAAAATTTGTTCTGAAATTTTCATATTTTATTGGTGATTACTTTATTTTTATTTATATTAGATCCACCAGATGAGCCAATTGATTTTATTTACGAACAATTACAAAGTATCGGTGAGTAATTATTTTATAATAATTATATTATATATTAGAGCAATATTCTATATTATTATATTCTATATTAGAGCAACCAAAAGAGCCCATTGTACGTCATAAAATTAGGAAAAAAAAAATGTTTTTGAAAATGTAAGCATAATTGGAGTTTAATTTTTTTTTCCAAATTAAATTTTTTTTGTTTTACAAGGAAATCAGTAAAAATATATCTGATGCGATTGTATTAGGTCACAGATTGCTAGCTCGCAGTCGTGATCCATTATTCTTGAAAAGTGACCAACTCAATTACATTTTAAAGAGTTTAGGTCATTATCGAACAGATGTATGCAAGTACTTGGGCAATGCTTGTATAATCCAAGCTAACATTTTAAATGG